AAAAGAGATCTTTGGTGAAAATCGAGCCCGCAATCTCTTTTGCTATCTCGGCGAGCGTTAGACCACAGAGGCCCGTACGCGATATACATGGCCTACCTGTAATCTCTCTCCCTTCATGCGACTTTAGGGCTCATAAAAAGTGCAGATATTGTTGAAATCCGGAAAGGTACCTAGGGTCAGGCTATAGACTTATATATAGCCTAATCTAGTATTGCGGTCTTATAATAGAAAGTACTCAAGGAGTGTCCTTTTACGTACCTCTTTTCAATGCCCTGATGACAATACTTGGGTCTACACAATTTCGGAGGTTATCTTCTAGAGATGTACGTGTACTACTAAAAACACCTTTATAGGCAAGTTACCGGGCGTCTATATTACCGGTAGTCTTCCTCTAATTTCCAGGGCCTTAGCGTGTAGTGCTAAAATAGCAGGGAATTTTCCCGCTGTTGTTTACATCCCGGTCCCTGCAAATCGCGCCTAAATATAACAAAGTGTTTTGGTGTTTTATCAATATCAATAATATTTTCCACACTAAACAATAATTTAAAATAATATCTTGGAATTTTTTTCTAGTCCCCTTAAGGTGGCGCCAGTGCGGGGTGGGGGCGGAGGACCAGGGGCCCCGTCGGGGAGGCCTGCCACGCCCTGTCGGGGAGAAAAACCACAATTTGTCAGGGAGAAAATAAAATTATGTGTAGGCCTATTTTTTACATGTTTTAGTAGAATAAAATCGATTAAATACGCCTTTAAAATCCCTAATTTTTTTGGGAGCATCGCCCCCCTGGACCACTTTTGAAAAAGAGTAACCGCCTACTTCAATTTGCTCGTTGGAGACATCGGTGCTGTCGGGGACATCGGATCCCCTCATCAGGACCCTCCTCCCAACGCCAGTCAGGCATATCCTGGCGCCACCCTTGCTTTAATGTAATTTAAAACGGGATTTTTAACTTTTTTTTTTTTTTTTTTTTTTTTTTTAACCTAAATGAGAATAAAAGAAGAGGGAACTTAAAATGAATAATATACGGGAAATTAAAAATGCAATGAATACTAATAGGAAATGGAAAAGAAATGTTTACTGTACTTCACACTAACTGAAGAAATAAATGGATTTTATTTTAAAATATAAACACAATTGCAGCATATAGGGAAAAACTGGCCGTGCACAAGAAATGCCTTGAGAAAATAACTCGGTTACGCCCTCTAGAACGAGTCAACACTTTCCCTATTGTTTTGTTTTTTTTCTTCGGGAAGGCAATTTTATTACCGCAATCTTAGGCAAATGCAATCAAAATGGCAACGTGTTTTTGTTGTTTTCGATGTTTTGGAAATTCAGGATTTAACCATGTGCCTTTTAAAGAAATCCCGAGTGTAATGATGGATACGACACGAATGGGTACGTCAACAAGTGTAGCCTAGGCTAGGCCTAACCTACTGCATTCAAGACTGGCTGTGTTTTTTTCGGCCTAGGCGTACCCGGTTAGAGATATGCCTAGAATCCAAGTCTAGGCCTACCCTAAGCTAGTCTGTCCTACGCTAAACTGTAAACGCCGAACCGTGCCAATGTTTTTTTTTTCAAAAAGGTCTTACAACTACTGTAGGTACAACAAATACAACTGAGTGAGTGAGATAAGAATTGTTCCTGTGTTTGCAATCCTAGGCCTACCCTAGTAGTATAAATAAATAAGATTTCAAAATAATTTCTAGGCTTTTTTTTCTGGCTCTGCTTTGCTCGTCTCTAAATCTCGATCCGTCTTCTGCAAACAATGCCTCTATCCATACTGCTCTGCTTGGAACACATTGATTTGTTGTTTAATTCTTATGAATATTTTTATTGGCTATAGCAAATGTTGATAATTGATTGTGTTATGTTTTTTTGTTTGGCAGATAATAGCCCATTGATGGCTTTTGTAGTAAATAAATATTGAATTGAATTGAATACTTACTCATATACTCTTGCAGTAACTGTAAATTAGACTTAGAGCAGCTCCAATGTAGGAAGTTGCAAGCCAAATGGACTAAACCACTCAAAATCCTACCATAAAGCAAATATATTATTAGGCCTAGTACCACTCGTTGTAAAATGATCATCATTAAATTTTGAAGGTTTATATATTAAAGGTCATTGCATTATTTTTACTACATGTAAAATGTTTTAATACTATTTCACTCTATAATAAAATTTAATTGACCTTTTTGCAATCAATCTTTTTTTTTTTACTTTTGCAGTGATGAAGCTTAATAAATAAATAAATAATAATAAATAAATAATCAATAATTCATAATAAATAATTCATCCAGTTTAAATTGTTATTTAAAAAAAACCCACAAGAATGTAAAATTTAATATTGCTAAAATATATATATATATATGAATTAAAATGAAATTGTATTTTTTCCAATGTTCTGTCTTTACAGGAATAATTTGGTCTTCAAGCAACTCAGTAAAATATGGCACAGGATTCAAATGTATTGAAATGTGTGGTAGTGGGTGATGGTGCTGTAGGTAAACGCAGTATGTTATGTTCCTACACATTGTACCATTTTTCAGCAGAATGTATCCCAACAATGTAAGTATTGATTAAGCCAAATAAAAAAATAATAGTTCCTTGTCTCCTCGCGCATCCATTTTCTCTGCCTCACTAATATTTTTTATTATTATTATTTCCTTTATTTTTACTATGTGTATTGAGGGTCCCTAATGATCAGCTTCGGCTGGATGGACCACCCTCATTTAAGATTATTGAAATAAATAAAATTTTTAAAAATGAAAATCGGGCTAACTCGCATCAGTAAAATTCCTCCCTCGATCGTTTGTGGTTGGGGATACATTTGGTATGAATCATGTCTAGAGCAATTTTTATTTGCTTTCAGTGTGTCTACTTGGTAAAAGTGAGAAAGTAGTACTGTTTCTCATCGACCATCTTGGATTTGCCATCTCAGAGTAAAGAAGAAAAAGTGGTCTTACTTGGCCTTATAGATAATCAAGAGCTTAGGTTATATCTACCCTAACATTAAATAGATTGTCCTGTACTGTATTTCCGATGTTTTTATTTACAACACACAGAACTACTTTGCTAATAGGGTAACAGTAGTCACGAAGTCGGGAGACAGAATTTTCTACCAATAGATTTAACTTCGGCCTTCAAGCCGTGTTTTATCAGATCAGTATTGGGTAATTCCATGTCAAATCAACCAAAAAAAAAACCTCAATCTCTCGGATTTTGTTCAAATTTTTGTATGTTGTTGAGGCCCATGAGAAACGATCAGAAATGAAAATTTTTTTCTCTAGGCCTCCTAATTAGCGAGATATCTGCTAACGAACTTTTGGCTAATTAGCGATACCTTGCGTGTTTAACCGATTAATCTCGAAAAGTATGGCACCTACAGAGCTGATTTTGGTGTCATTTTAAAGCTATTGAGTAGCTCTATAACTTTATTAATAAATGCTAAGTCCTTAATTCAAATATAAAAAAGTTATGACAGGTTGTAAAGTTCAAAGTTGAATAAAAAAAATACATATCTTTTTTTTTTTTTGAAATTCATGTTAGAGATACCTAATGATGTAAAGAAGCTTCCCTATAAGTTTGGTGATGGGCGCTCCAAAAGTTCCTGAACAGTGAGCAATTATATATAT